TAGATCTAAATCTCACAAATATATTCACTGTTATTGAGAAAAAAATCTCTGTGCACACTGGGGGATTTAGTATGCAAAAATAAAATAAATATCTAACTGATTGAAAGATATAAAATGGATCTGAAAAAAAGTGTCAAGTATTTTTCAAAGCTCATTCATTATGATACATAACAAATTTTTTCAAAACTTTCTAGCGTCCGACACTTTTATTTAAATTTTTTTTGAAAATTAACTTCATTACTGCGATTCAAATTACTTTTGTACGGTATCTCGTAAATGAAAAAGTGATTTGCAAACTGTAATACCTAATCTCACAATTACCTTCGTGTATTTATCCATCGGTAAAATCTACCAATTTATTATGTAAACTCTTAGCATATTTGTAATTTGCCACGTAAATATCTGTGCAGTTGTTACGTAAATATCTGTGCAATTAATCTTATCTGTGCAATTTTAATTACTTATTTTCCATAATATCTGAGTGCGAAGTTACATAAATATTGTTTCAAAGATAAGTTTCACGTTTACTAAAAATTGATAAGTTAATCTATCTATCGACTTCATGGCCGATTTGCTCATTTTCCATCTTTACTACTTAGTAATTATAAAAATTAGGAAAAAATGATGGAAGCAATTTGAAGTAAGAGTAAAGATTCGGAAAAGTTAGAGTTCAAAATATGAAAAATTGCGGTCCTGATACAGAATTTCTTCGTTGCCTCAAAAACTCAAAGGAATCAACGAAATCATCATTTTGGAGAAGTCGTGAAAATGAGCTCAACAGAGAATGCCAAAGAATTTGATGATAATGATGATAATAATCGTGAATATCATTATCATTATCATCAAATTGAAAAAAATTGCAAAAAAATAGTTCGACGAGGCAAGAAGGCACGTCATAAGTTGGTTTATGTGGCTGATAAAATGGATATTCTCATAGGTAAGTTTAAGACTGCAATTTTACAAAGTAATAATTGCTGAAAGTTACTTTTATTAATTATTAATTAGAAAAGTTCTGACTTATAATTAACATCCAAGTTTTGAATTTGAAAACAGTACTTGTTTTAAGTGCTGAATACTGAGTGAACTTTGTAATCGAATCTTTCCTTTAAAATTGACATAAAAAGTTTACTTCTGAAGGAATGCTTCGTGAAACTGACTTCGTCGTTTATTTATTTGTATTTTTTATTAATAAAGCAAATCAAAATAATTTTTGCACATTGTTTATAAATATTAATCGTAATAATACTAGTAATTTTCGCAATTACTGTCAAAATTTTTCTGTGCAAAACACAGTGTGCGAGTTTTAATTTAATTCATTAATAATGCACAGTGTAAATGCTTTGAATTTATTCCAAAAATATTAACGCTTTCAAAATTCAAATTTTCACTTGTTGCTTTGTTTATTTATTTGTTTTTGTGACAAAGACTTTAAAAATTTTCAACGACTTTCTATCACTTCAGCTTTATTTAAAAAGTTTTAAGCTCAAACTTTTTACAGTACACGGTTTTCAACGTGTAATTTATGCACGTTTTTCGAATTTAATTAATTTCTATTTTTCAAAAGTTATTAACAGGTCTAAAATTTTGTTTCATAAATTTGCCAAGGAACTGCTAGTATCAACAAATTAGCATATGATTATTTGAAAAAATAAATGCGCAGTAATTACAAGTATTGGACAATTCCTTGTTTTCATTATTGTAAATTTGTAAAATTATTTCTATCAGAGTTTATTTAAGAAATTCAATGTTCGAAAGTAGAATTTATGCACATAACATAACAATGAAGTTAGTCTTGGAACTAAATGATCTTTTATTAGTTCAAAATCTAGTCTAACTAGATGTCATTTTCAATTACTAACACTAACAAAACTTATTGATACTTTAGACAAATATTGTTAAAATTAAATTACTTTACTGGGAATTTATGAATTGCTCTTGCTAAAGCACAAAAAATAAGAATTTTTAGATTTGACTAACTCATTTTTTATTTTTTATCACGAATTTTAAGGATCAGTTGTAAGCGTCGAAGGTGATCACGTAGATGTGGAGGAAAAATTGTCAAAAGTAAGCGAAGCTTCACGTAGTCCATCACCAATGGATGATCCTCCACCTCCGGCGCCTGCGACGCCAGCATACTTACAGCGACGTCATTCCATTGTATTTAATTTCACCTTTATGCAGCCTAATATATAATATAAAATACAATTATTTACATGTATACATCAAAAGGTGCAATTAAAAGTTTTTTCCTTCATTAAATGAAAATATAAGAGCAAAAGTAAAGACTAAAAATTAAATGCTTTTGTATAATCTCACAATATTACTGTATTTATAACTGTTAATTTTCTGGATATGTTTTGATTATATATTTCATTTCAACTTTAGAAACTATGTCATATTTAAAGAGTAATACTAAGCTTAAGCTTAAACTTTTAGAAATGTGAAAAAAGTTTCAGTTTTCACCTCGACAAGCTCAAACTTCTGATTCAGTTGTGGGCACATGTCCTCCTAGTGATTCTACGAAAGACTGTGCTCAGCCGAGCACATCAGGAGAACAGCAAAAAACATCTCCCATCCCTGCGGTTTCGGTGCAACAATCCAGTCTGCCTCCTGCAAATCCTGCAAACATCACGGGGTAATAACCCATACATTTTATTTTTTTTTGGAAATTTTGTAAGACTTACCTCCAGAATTTTTTATTACAGTGAATATTTGCATAAATATATTTTTGTAATATTTCACTGATATATTCTAGAAATGTCGTGCCAGCTGTGTCCGGTTCATCAACTTTGCCTCATTCAATGACATGGGCGCCTCAGATGGCTACTGGTCAATTTCAGTCCATGCAATCACTTGATCAACGTGGCATGCCTACCTTGCCTTTTTATCCAGTTTGTTCAAGCACAATTCTTATTACAACTTTTACTTTTAACTTTGTATGTTTAAAATAGCTTCTCTAAAATTGCTAACTGTTTGCATCCTAACAGTTGTTTAAATAGTAATCTCATGCAGTATTGTTTGATTTAATCCATATTAGAATAATGGTTATGAGACACATTAACTAAAAATATAAATAAGATAATACAGTAAGTGAAAATATAGGAAAAATTTGCGAATTTTACGTTTAACACTGTAATGAGTAAAAGTTTTTAGAGTGTTATTTAAATTAAGTTATCTGTGCAACACAAAAGTTGAATTGTCAAATTATGATTAAATATATGTATCTAGTAAAATGTAAAATTTTCAACGCTAACTCTACTTACTAGCTTTAATAACTGTTATCCTGATTTTTTCCTATTTACTTATTAACCAAAAATATGAATGGTTTTATTTAACAGCGATAATATCTAAAATTTCTGGCTATAATAACCGTTTGCAAAATTCAACTTAACACTTATAATGCGAAAAAAATTTTTTCAATATTAGCAAAGTTTAAAGTTTTTTCAGTAATTATATTATGCGATAATTAATTATATTATGCGATAATTGCGATAATTATACTGGCATTATATAGAAAATTTATTCCATAATAATGCAAGAAAATTTATTACATTACAAGTAATTATAAATTTGTATCTGATAGTAATAATATGCAAGATCTGGAGCTCAAAGAGTTTAGATGCCAACGTTGGCTGGGCCATCGACATCAGTACCATATGGACTTAGTTCACCGTATTTATTATCTCCTTACGGAACAATGCAGTTTCCAAGGAATACCTCTGAGCAGCAAATCCCCGCCACAAATCCTAACATTCCCGGAAGTCCTCACGAAGGACAAGATCTCACCGCTTATCAGCTCAGTCTATCTTTAGATCAGGTTTGTTCTCACTGGATCATAAATTTGCACAAAGGTAATGCATGTGAAAAAATGTACATTCAAAAAAAATTTCTTCAAATTACATTCTTTCAATATGATAATAGATTTTTTCCAATAATAACTGAGTTCAATTAATAATAATATTTGAATTATTATAGAGAGTAATAATTCAAATATCATCATTTTTTCAATATGATAACAGTTCATAAACACAAAAATAACTTGTAAAAATTTTGAATTTTTTTGATTATTACAAAAATTAAGTCATAAAAATAATAAATCATAGCGTGGATGATACCTAAATAGCATATTTTGTAGTACAATCAACATTTAATACGTTCACAGTTGGATCAGGCTCAACAAACAGCTCAGGTTGCAAGTTGCCAAGTACAGTTACTTCGAGATCAGTTGACAAGTGAAACAACTGCTCGAATAGAAGCACAAGTTTGTTTCTTCAAAATGTTACATTTGCAGGAAAAATTATTCAAAAATATTATTATAAAATAGGTATTACTTAAAATTACAAAGGATTAAAATTGTTAACAGACATTAAATTAATTAACAAATAATGTAATACGAAATTTTTTGATAAAATTTTATTATTACTATAATTTAGTGCAAATTCTTTGCATTTTTTATACTTTTGTTTTATATTATCCAAATTTATGTCTACAAAGCAAAACTTTTGTAATTTATTATATTCATCTTCAGCGTAACTTCTAGAAAAAGCAAGTCTGCAATATGGCTGAACTGCAAATTCGAAATTTAAGTTTTGAATTTTGATTTCGAGGTTTCAGTCCCGGACACATCAGTTGTTGAATGCAAATCGTGAATTGTTAGAACAGGTACAGGTACTTGTTCAAAAGCTTCAAACTCTGGAATCAAGGCTTGCAAACGAAATTCATGAACATATCAGTCAACCGGTAATCTTACTCAATCTTTACTCATTAAATGACGAATATCTAAAGTTAATTATTCAATAAATAACTCACTTTTTGCATATTCAATATTCGCATATTCATCAGTATTTTAAATAGTTATCTGTATAAGTTTGTAATGCAACTTTGTAATTATTGTATATAGCGATCTACTTATCATACTAAAGAAGATTTAGTTGAAAAAATACAAAATTCATGAATTGCAGTCCACATCAAAAGGGCAGCGAACTTCGTCTACTTTACCGTTGTCTTTTAAAACAAAAGAATCTAGGCCATCATCACAAATGACCACTCATTCGATGCATGAATATACGGGTGAAGCTAAAGTTCCCGGACCTCCACCAATCGACCCCTCAAAACCTTATCAGGTTTTTTTTTGCCTTTCATTTAATTTAAATTTGTATTTTTTTAGTTTATGAGGCGATTTAATTTAGTGAAGATTTTATGATTGAACTAAATTAATCCTTATATTGTAAATGAATTGTCCAAGTCCATGCTTAACCCACTTTTATTAATATCGTTTGTTCTTTTTACTTTAAATTTCTATCATTATTTTAGCTGCAATCCCTAGCAGATATTCGTGCTGGTTCATTACCACCTCAGGTAGCTCAGTCAAGCACCTCAAACTCAGCCAAAAATCGCAGGGCTGTGGATGATTCTGGAGTCCGTACTGAGCCAGAAAGTGGAGCAGAAGTATTTTGACTTGTTTTGTTTGGAACCATAATTTCGAACTGTAAAAGAATTGAAAATATTATTCGAAAATATTTCAAATATGATTTGAAAATATTTTAATAAATGAATAAATATTTTTTTATCATTCAAATTTAATCTTAACTTGTATGAATTTATTAAAAGTTGCATAAATAGTTTACTTGCTCTAGTAATTTTTCGAGGATTATTTTTTCTTAAAAATGTTCACTTACTGTTTTGGCTTGAAATTAAAATACGGTATTTATAATTAAAATATATCAGTCACTTGCATCATTAAAACATGTCAGTATTTGAATATCAAACTTGGATTTAGCTTGCAGCTTAAAAATTGAATGTAATTCTATTTCAGCTTTTGAGTGACATTTAATTTTCAAGCTTAAAAGCATTTTGAATATTATTAATTACAAGCTATGAAGTGAGCTTCCAGGATACTACAGATTACAGCTCATCAGATCAATATGAAAAAATGTCATCGAAAAAAGGTATTCAACAGCGACCAATGATGCAACCTCCCGAGCTTGGATCAAATATTAATATCCTCATGTCTAATCCACAAGTCAGTCCAATTTCAAATTAATTTGATTTAAATCTTTGGCAAGTTATAGCTCAATTATTGTTTATTTGGAAATTTATTTATGAATTAATCATAAAGTGAGATTGAATCTCAAAAATTCGAATTATTTGATCAATATATCAGATCAATTTATTATAATTGGTCTTATTTATAATATTTTCATAGGTGATGTCAAGTTTACCACCATCTTTTCCCACTCAAGCAATCCCTTCTGGGAATTATATCCCAAATTATCTTGTGAATCCGTCCAAAAACCAAAACTCTGATAACATCAAAGTATGAAACGCTTCATTTTAACACGAAATTGAAGGCATTGATATTTCTGTATTCTTTTGTATTCTTCGTTATTAATTTGTTATTATTTCTAAACTTTTCAAAAATTTACAAGCAAAAGCTTTATTTGCAATTTTAGACCAAAATACAATTAAAGTAATGTAAACATTTTGTAGTAAAATTTTGATTATTTGCTTGCAACGATGAATCAAGTTGGCTTATATTGCTGACGCTAAGGTTAAGAATAACATATTCGAATAGAATATATCACACAAATACTAATGAGATAAAGGAAGTATGAAATATAAATTCAGGATATTGACGAACAAGAAGGCAGTGGCTTGGCAAGCAACCGTAGAATTAAGGATGTACAACGATCAAAAGTCTTGGGAGGTGAAACGATATTCAATAGAATGTCATTTAATCCAAAGCTTTGGGAAGGAAAACGGAAGGAAATTGTAGATTCAGGTGAAGGCGCAATTGTGGAATGCACCGAAGAAAACCAAATCGAACAAATGAAAAAATCCGATGAGTTTGGTTTTCTTCATCGAAATACTTCATAATAATAATTAATAATGATTTAATATATATGTAGCGAAATAATTAATCAGTCTGTATCTTTTATGAATCCTTACTTTTTTTAAGTAACAAATGAATTTTTTATTTTTTAAAATTAGAATAATCGACGTATAATTAAATAAGTAACGTACAGTAAGTCAGATAATTAGCATATAAGCGTAAAGATTATTATTAGATTAAATTAAAATAAAATAATTGACAAAAGATTTGATTATTTGTTCTAGATTATTTGTTTCAAAGTATAAAATTTGTACATTCTGTAGAAAACGAAAGAGTGAAGAAAGTGTCAGTACTGCACGACGACGTTCAGAAAGACTGGAACGCTTTCGAAGAATCACTGAAGACGATGTTGGGACATCTTTTGTGGCGAATCAAATTGAGCAACCATTTGACGCGTAACCTGACTTCTTATTCATTATTTATAATTATTCCTAGTCAATTTATGTACTGGTCAAATCCTTTTTTTTTCTCATTGCAGAAAATAATTATTACATTAAGACTGCTTAAAAATTATGAATATACGCGAAAATACTCATAATTAAGATTAGAATTGAGTATGCATTTAAAAAAATTGATATGAACAAAAGTCCGAAGATTAATTCAGACGTGACGTTGAATGGCGAGACACGACAAATGTATCACGACGGAAGTCTGTCGCATCACTGATAGGAAATTACGCTGAACCCGCTTCATTACGTGTAGCAACAGCAATGTATCCACCAAGACAATTAAAATTTCCTCTACGGAATACTAAAGTAAATTGATCCAAGAACAATATGCAAATTTTTGAGTACACGATAACTGAGATGATGTGAATTTCAGAGTGCGCACTATTTGAAATATAAGTTAAGCAGCGCTTGTATTAAGTGTTTTGTGACAATTCTTACTGAATGAAATAAATAACTGTTATATTGTATTGTATTCTTAAAATTACGTCTTGCAAAACTATTTTAAAGTTGGGGTCACAAGTATGCATACTAAATATGTTAGGGTCACAAGTATGCATACTAAATATGTTACTTACTTAATTAATTGACCATTTTTACAAAATATACATTGAAGGAATCATTTCGAAAATTATCAGTGGATACTCGAGATGACAATTTGCATACCTCGTCAGTTATCCCACAACAAGCGCAGTTATTGCCATTCATTGGTAATGGCCCTGTTATACCTTCAACAAGTGGTCTAATCTCGAGAAATCATGCTGGAATGCTAGATGAGAAGGAAAAATCGCAAAAAATTGGCTCGGGCGGGGCGAGCCAAATGTTAGTACTGCAAGAAGCACTAAAGCAAGGCTTAGCTAGCACTAGAAAACAATTGCGTCAAACTAGCGAAACTTTAGATGGAATGAAAAAGTTAGTATAAAATAAACTTCAAATGATAAGTAATAATTTTTAGTAACATTTTACTTCTACATCTTGTACGAAGTCTAATTTCTGCTTGATCTTTTTCCATTTTTTGATTGATTGATTGATTGATTGATTCATCATGATAAGATTGATTGTAAAAACAGATCAAATACTAAATAAAAATAAATTTTTTGCTTTTAAAAGTTTCTAAGCTTTTTTGTCGTTTATTTTAGTTACAATTATTTTGTTATTTTTAAATGATAACAATTATTTTTAGTTACATTTCTACAAAAAATAAGCAAACAGAATGAATACAAAAGTTTGTAATATAAATTATTTTTCAGTCCACTTAAATATTTGGAATCACAAAAACCGAAATTAAGTGATCCGGCAGTACTAGCAAAACTTACTAAATTGCCATCATTTCGATCAACTTTCGATTATGGCGCTGAAACTTGTGATATGTCAAATCTCGGTGACCTGCGCAATCCATCAGTGGATCATTTAACAACAACAACAGAGCAACAGAATCAAACTCATTGTAATGATGATACTGGACAACTTTGACCATCCAAAAGTGACCATCTGATTGATTAAATTTAGGAATTTTAATATATAATTATTATACTTTCTATAAAAAAATTACTTCTTTGCATTCCAATTTTGACATGTCAATTTTTTAGTAAAACAAACGAGAAACAACTATCTCATTAATATAAAGCTGTCCTAATTAATTATTTAAAAATTATGAATTATTTTTAGAAATTTTGCTGATTTTTTTTCAGTTAGATGCTTTTTGTAACATTTTTTATTTACAAATTACTAAAATTTCTAAAATCATAAGCTTTCAATGTAAGGCGAGCTTTTGAATTTAAAATAGAATTAAAAATTTGAATTTTAAATACAACGGCTTGTTTATAATTGCAAGAAAAAGGTAGTAATATTATAAATGATAGTATTTAAGTATAATTTATAATATTTATTACCAAAGAAAAGTGTTTGATTACAGTGCAAATCTACACGCAATGTCCTATAATGTTGTTGCTGTTATCTCTTTCAATTTTCTAATATCATTAAATATATTATAATTTTTTATTGTAAATTTTGAAAAATATTTACAAAATTACGTTGAGTGTATTGTATGTGTGTGACTTGTTGAAATATCGAACTGTGATAGCTTGTGAAGTCGTAATTAATTATCATTATTATGAACATAGACTAATTTATTCCGAATTAAAATGATTAAAGTTAATTATTTTTATTGTCTAATATTCGTTTAGTTTTGTATTACAAATTATTTTAGCACTAATTACGACTAATAAGCCATTATCTTTATTATTGCGAATAATTTGAAAAAGAATTTATGTTTTTGTTTGTCCGTTTTCATGTGCTGTTATCGATAAGTGATAAATGATGTAAATCAAGCAATGAAAATGATCATCGCTTTATCATTCGACTTATATTTACAATAATTTTTAATTGCTTTGTTTTAATTTTTCAAAGAAAAATTTTTGACGTTGTTCCATATGGTTTTGGTGTGATCTGAATTGATGCAAAATTTCTGATCTCGATTTTTAAACTTTGTTAGTTATCATTTAAATTTCATTTAAAATGAAATTTAAAACTAGCAGACTAGCAAATTGTAGAAAAATCATGATAGTTTGAAGTTTAATGATCGAATTAAGCAATTTCGGTTAATGGTATAAATATCGTCATGGCGAGAACAGTTGTTGACGAAAAAAAATTTCATATCAATTAAATCCTCACGTTGAATACGTGATTTCCTCAAAGTCAAAAATGAAAGGTAGAGTAATACTGAAACGATCTTCCTTCAATTACTGCAGAATTTGATTTAGAAACACTTAATTACAGCAAAAAGAAGTGAAAAATTTTATTTTCATTACGTGAAAGTTTGAACTTTCAGATCTCTTTTACATATTGTCAACAATTATCTATTAAAAAAATTCAGCTTATCACTTGAAGTTTACGTGACGTAAATTTGTTTTGCAATTTTATATCTTTCATACAAATGATTAATTTCAATCTTAAGTGAAATTAAATGTTCTGAAATCAAATTTGTTGGTAATTTTCAAATTAGAATTACTTTCAATAAGCTATGCTAAATTACCCTTTCCTATTAAAATCATAATTATAGGATGTGTTTAGCTTAAAATTATCAATATATGAATGTATAGACAAGTTATTTTGCTGGGTTATCAAAGTAAACAACTAATTACTATTCTGAGCAAAAAATCAAAAATACCGTCAGAAGTGACGTGTCATTAAAATTAATAATTTCATATAAAATAGCAGATTTACGGATTTTTATTATAACACAATTTGTTTAAATGGTTAGAAACTTTAAAAAAATAATTGGAAATATATTCATTATAAGTTATCAGTTTTCAAATTCATATTCGCTAAGATGCAAAAAAAAATCCGAATTAATTTACTTCTGAAATGGTCCAATTGTAATTGCTCAGGTCAGTCATTTAAATATGTTTCTTATCGATAATATCAGAAAGATTACAATTTATATTTTTCATAATTTGAAAAAATTTCAAAAAAATTACGAGTGATATTTTTGAAAAAAAAAAGTGAAAGGGATTATTAATTCCTGCGCAAAACGTATAAACATAAGCGTAAAACGTAAACATAAGTTTCTGCTTCTATGATACTTCACTTTGTTGAAGAATAAATTTATTTCGTACGCTGTATTTAATAACTACTTTCTCCTTAATTTGCTATCAATAATTTTGCGTCTAAACTAAAAAATATTTCAAAGCAGTTATCAGCAAAAAATAATTATTGAATCAGTAATTTTTTGATAATTTTTGCCTAACTTTCAAATCCCATTCATTTCTTTCAGATAAACAAACATGTTAATGAATAAATAAATAAATATAATTAAATAATTTATATGATTAAATAATTTATATGCTAAACCAATTAATTAATTAAGGCACGCTTTATTTAATTAATTAACTAATTAATCAGTTAATTAAACGTTTGTAAAAACAGCAATAAATATTAACAAATATCAACGATTATTGGTAACTTGTTATCACGAAATTATCAAATAACCGAAGATAAATATCAAAGATAATATGCATACAGCAATTCCGTGTAAAGCCATAAATGCATTAATCCAATCTTCCTGGTAATTATTTATTGTGGATGATTTGTTATTAGAAGGCAAAGTTCGTTCAGTAAAGTTGAAAACACAGACGCATCTATTGATCACTTCTGATATTCTGTAAATTTTTCAATAATCATATACTTCAAAATAAAGCTAGTTTTTGATCGATAATGATTATTTTTAAATTCTGAGTCTGATCAGATGAAAAAAATAACCTTATCAACCAATTCCAAGGTGGAAGATTCCGCCGAATTTTGCTACACATCCACAATAAAATTGACACACTTATACTAAGTGTATTTATTATTATTGCAAATTGCAAAAATTGTACTGAAAATATATCAGTTACAATATAAAAGTTTGGTATTGAATTTTTGATCAAAAATTGTATGTAATGAAAGAAATTCAAAAATTTGAAAGCATTTATAATTTTGGTACTTTCAAAAATTATTATCAGTGATTACAAAACTGTTAATGCTTGAACTGTTTGAATTTTATAAAAAGTATTCACTTTTTCACTTTAATAAAAAAATTAATCAAATATAAAAATGACTTGAAAAAATTATTATTTTTTTGCACATTTTTTGAACAATGAAATTTTGGAATTCAAGTAAAAATAATACAAGTTAAAAATTAACACACATATCTTAGGCGTTGCAGCAACAGAGCCAAGATGTGGCGTAATGCGTGTTGAATACAGTTGTAAAGTTAGAAACTGTAGAAATAATACAAACATTTTATTAATAATTTGTATATGAATTTCTCCAAGTAATGGAGTTAGAAGGAACAGTGTAGAAGTTACTGTACTGGGCAATGACATTTCTATGCGTAATGAATTTGTAGAACGTTGCAAATTGATACAGAATCCAAGCTGAAAGTACCAATTAAAATAATAAAAGATTGGATGACAAAAAAAAAAGTTAAATTCAAATTTGAAAGTTAATATTTTATCGCTTTTGAATTAAAACGAAAATGGTTTGTATATTTAAGGTACAAATTGAAAAAAATTAAATTATATTTAATGTTGCTTGATTGTACCTTAAAAAAGTTTGCTTTTCTTGGCATAAAAAAGTGAATAGAATAAAGACATACCAATCATATATGCATTGAAAAATTGAAATATTAAAAACGAAATAAAAATTATTCCAAAATTTAAAATACAATTTGAGTGTTTCTAATTTTTACTTGCGCATGAAAAAGAATTTATTATTTTTAAAACAACGATTCAAATTTTGTAAGTAAATAGTCAATAGAAATTTAATATTTGATAAAAATTTGCTAAATACCTGTGAAACTTGAGAATCAGGCATGATTCTGTGTGATGGAATGGTTCCGGAAACGTACCAACCATAATTACGGAAATATTTTGAATCAGTAAAAACAGCTTGACCCGAAGTAGTAAAATCTACTTCACCCTGCAAAAATTGTTTAACAAAACTTTTGAATATTGAAAAATAATTGATAGATTAAGCTAAAAAATTAACTTGTATTCACATACATTAAAAAATTGAATTATATTAATTGCTGCTTGCTTGTATTTGCTTTGCTTGCCTTATGAAAGTAAATAAATGAAAGTAAATAAAATAAAATACAGTTGTTTTTTGTTAAAAAATTTTAGCTGCTT